TTTCTCCCCTAGCACCTTTCCCCTCTTCCCACTCTCCCAGTATAGTTATATAATTTTGATTAGATTAACATTTACTGTTTATATTATTATGGCTATGTAAGCCATTTGCTAAATTGTTTACTTTTCTTCCTTGCACAGATTTTTGTATGCCTAGGCATGAATAATCAGCTTGTTTTCTTTTCAATGTACTTGCCCCCGAATCAACTGTAGACTCAGTGTTCCAAAGTTCTTCTTATGAAATTTTGACACATCAGGTATTAGTTTCACCTTTTTGAGAAAATCTAAAGCAATTGTCTTCTATGCATGTTGTATAGTGTTTTTTTTTTGTTTTGTTTTTTGTTTTTGTTTTATCATGGTATCTCTGTACACTGTCCAAGGATTCCCTTCTCCTTTCTCCTATGTTGGATCTGCTTTATCCTGTATCCATGTCATGTTCTTTCTTGATTTATTCTCTTGTTTTGTTAGAGAATATCCTTGAGTAGCTTTCTTGGAAAGGGGGCATGGAACTCAATTTGAGACCTTGAAAGTCTAAAAATATATTTAATTGAGCCATCATGAAGGCTGCTAGTTTGGGCATACAATTATTGTGGAAATTAGTTTTCTTCAGAATTTTAATGGCATTATTCCAATGAATTCTAGCTTCCAGTAGTATATTAAGAAGTCTAAAACCATATGGACTCCTGATCATTTGTATGAGGCTTGCCCTCCTTTACCGCCCTCTGCTGGAGACTTGTGAAATCTTCTAACTCCAGTATTTTAAAATTTCATGTTGATGGATCTGTTTTTGTTTTGTTTTGTTTGTTTTTCCTCATTGTCTTAGGGCTTTTTTATTTTAGAAACTCATATTATTCATTTCTGGGAAAATTTCTTGAACTGTTTAGTTGATTTCTTTATGCTATTTGCTCTATTTCTCTTTGTGGAACTTTTATTTGGATATACTATACTTTCTATAAGATTTCCTCAGATGATCTTTAAACATTCTATTAAGCTTTTATTTTTGAATGTTAAAAGATATTTAATAAAAAAATTGATTATTTTTGGCCAAAGGATTAAGACTATAGTTAGGCTGGCTTTTAAGATCACTAACATCTTGCCCTAGCCATTTTGGCTCAATGAATAGTGTCAGCCTGTGGACTTAAGGAACATGGGTTCGATTACAGTCATGGGCACATGCCTGGGTTGCAGGCTCGATCCCTAGTATGGGGCGTGCAAGAGGCAGTTAATAAATGATTCTCTCTCATCATTGATGTTTCTATCTCTCCCTCTCCCTTCCTCTCTGAAATGACAAAAATATTTTTTAAAAATTCCTAAGATCTTGATATTTTATAACTGTGCCTATACTTAGAATGTGGTTTAACTTGTCCCATAAACCTTCAGTTCTCTTTATACCTATCATCTCCTAAAGAAAATGTGTGGACTCTACTCATTGTACTGCCTCAGAAGTGATCACATCTGTTCATTTTGTGCATCCCAATGCCTGTCACACACTGTTTTACGATTGATTGCACCTACCAAGGGCAAGGTGATAGGAAAAAAAGATACAGACAACTCAGAAACATTCTTTGCATCAAGGATCAAATAAATTTCAAATAGACATATAAAGAACCTTTCTATTAAGATTTCTCTTTCTGCTGTTATGTTTTTAATTTCCAAATGCTCTATCTTTACAAATAGCATTTATCTCTCATTGAGACTTTCCCTGATGACTCTATTTAAAATTGCATTCCTAAATCTGACCCCATAATTTGTAGAATATACCTTTCATGAGGGTAGAGGTTTTTTCCTATTTTTCCCCCCACTAGTATTTTACCAGAATCTCAAAGTGTCTACCACATAGTAAATGTTCAAATCTTTCTGGAATAAGCTGGATTATCTTTCTGATGGTATTAAAAATATACATTTAAAAATTTCTTCTAGTATAGATCTAATCTTTTGTGTATGTGTGTGTGTATGTGTGTGTGTGTGTGTGTGTGTGTGTGTGTGTGTGTGTGTGTGTTACCTTTTTGTATTTTTACTAGAGGCGCAATGTAACCTCTTGCAATCCAGGACCACTTGGGGGATATCTGACATCCCTCTTGCAATCTAGGACTGCTGGCTCCTAACCGCTTGCCTGCCTGCCTGATCACCCCTAACCACTTGCCTGCCTGCCTGACCACCTCTACCCACCTCTGCCTGCCTGTCAGATCGCCCCTTACCACTTGCCTGCCTGTCTGATTACTCCTAACCACTCACCTATCTGCCTGCTTGACTGTCCCTAACCACTCGATTGCCTGCCTGCCTGCCTGATCACCCCTAACTGCCTCTGCCTCGGCCCCCACTACCACAGCTTCATCCAGACGGATATCCGGAAGATTGTTCAGCTGTATGGTCTAATTAGCATATTATGCTTTTATTGATATAGATTGCTCTTAGATTAGAAAGTTTTCTGCAGATATCTGGTGATACTTCATAATCTGTTTGTATTTAAGAATGGGAGTTAAAAGCTGACTGGAGTAAAGGAATAAATGGATGGGACTTGCCATCTATGGGCTTCATGGTAGAATGATCTTGGTTGGTTGTGGGAAGCTGCACCGCCATGGCATACTCAGCCCCAAGGTCCCTTATGTGCTTCGCTAGCTCAGCCCGGTTCAGTGACCCTGAGTGGGGGCAGCTGAAAGGCTGAGAAAAGACAGACAAGAGAATGAAAGCTGGGTCTCGGTGGGACACTGCTTCCCTGTTGGAGAGACAGCACCACGGACTACAAGCCGTGTCTTTATTTTATAGCCGATGCCAGGAGGCAAAGTAAGGGCGTGGTCAAGTAATCAACATTCTTGTGGGTTTCAGTCCTACTCAATTACATGTACCTGAACTCTATCAAGCCCATATCAGGCACATGGGACCACGTGTTCAGACCATCGATTCAAGCTTACAACTATAGCCGTTGGCTATAACTGTGCTGGGAGGGCTCTGCCCTCCAAGCTGGGACTTGCATGTGGCCATGGGAGGACTGTGCCCTCTCGTTAGTCCAAGGCTTGAACCTGTCCAAACAGTGTAGCCACGTCCCACATTTGGCCATCTTGTATATTTCCTTATGTTTGTGTCTAGATCTTCCTTGTTGACTGGTCCAATTACTTGGAGCACATTCTTCCACTCTTTGGATATAATAGTCTGGGAGCATAGAGGAAGAGGGCGGGAAGAGACTCAGCATCCAGAGTACATATGTTACTAATCTTCCTGTTTTCAGTATGGCCCTCATGCCTTCAGCTGGCCATCTTGGCTGGAAGCAAAAGTCAGTTTAATTAAATGGCATATTTCTTAGTCTTCTTTTGTTAATAAAGGGTTGTTTTAACAAACACATTAATGCTGGTGCAAGGCTTTTCCCTTAAAATTACATATAGATTTTTTTGTTTGTGTTTTCATTTTGTTTTTAAAGTAGATGGTAATTTAAAGGTCCAGTCCCTGAGGACCTATAGACTGGGGACCCTGAGATGTATAATCCTGAGGCTTTTGTCATTCTCTGTTGCTGCATGCTTTGTTATTGAAGGCTGTTCAAGGTCTCATCAACTTTGGAGTTTTGACCAAGCTGATTATTTCATAAATTTTAATCAAAGACAGATTGAGAGAAATCATTGATGGGGCCACATGGTTGTATATTCATGCACTGGCTTAGAATGGAAATCTCTATGAAATTACTGAGCTACCTTTGTGGAAAGCCTCAAACTCTATCTTTTAGCTTGTCTGATCTAGCTAGGACAAATTAAGAATGATTTGCAAAAACTTCTATGTTCCTGGCATATTGATATGATTTATTTATAAGGTGCAGAAAATTGTCTAAATATTAGCACACATACTACATATTTGCAAATAAACTATATATAGTTATAACTACTGTATATATCGTTTATTTGCAAATATGTAATATAGAGTGTGCTGCGCTTTTCTAAGGAGTCTGTAAAGAATGTGGTTTAACTTGCCAGTGTGTAATAATAAACTTATTTTTGTGTGATTATGAGCTTTATTTATAATTCAATAGCAAATGTTTATTTTCATTAAGTTATAATTCAAATGTTTTTGGCTTAACTAAAATTTCCTCTATATCTCACACACAAAAAAATTAGACTGAAAGTTTCTTTCCAAAGATCCCCTGCAAATGGGACCAGATTCTTTTAGAACAGATTTAATTATCTATCATAATAAGGATTAGGGAGCAAAAAGGAAATTGTTATCTTTGAAGAACTCCTAAATATCATTTTAGTCCATCACTTCAGCTTCCCCTACTGCTACCAGACCCACTCACTCACAGGGCACTATTGTTATTTTGGGATCCTGGCTCTCTTAGTTTCTTCAGCCTACTTACTGAGCCAACCAACAGTGTAATAGCCCAAAGCTAGGGAGAACAAAGGATCTAGATTATTTGAAACAAAAAAAAATTAACAGCAGAATAACGACTGTCTTTCCTGTGCTGGGTTCCATTAAAAAATTTTTTTTTTCAAAGAATATTTTTCTTACCATTTTACACTTTCTTAATCACAACAGCCTATATAAATACTTGTATATTGGGTGGGATAAAAACGAAAAAAGGGATTAGAAAAGGCATGTATTCTTTTTAAAAAAAATTAAGCCTTTAGATGGACTTTAACAACTTAAATATGTTAAATACTATTCCTGCCTTAGCCTGTATGCTTAGTGTTTAGAGCATTAGCCCACAGATTGAAGGGTTTCAGGTTTGATTCTGGTCAAGGGCAAGTACCTTAGTTGCAGGCTCAATTCCTTAGCCCCAGTTGGGGTACCGATGGAATCAGCCTATTAATGTGTATCTCTCACATCAATGTAGATGTTTCTTTGTTTCTCCCCTTTCCTTACACTCTTTCTAAAAAAATATCAGTGGAAAAAATATCATTTGGTGAATGAAGATTAACAAAAAGAAAAAGTAACAAAACATGCTATTCCTAGTTGACAAGTGGAAGTTGTGTTTTATTTTGTTTTTGGTGGTCTTTAACGGTATATGTTTTTCTTTTCAGCAACTAAGTCAGGATTGTTACCTCCACCACCTGCGCTCCCTCCAAGACCTTGTCCATCACAGGTAGGAGACAGATGTTGATGTCTATAAACTGTTGGGTGGTAGAGAACAGTTATCCTACCACTGTGCTTCCTTTGTGAGGGTGGATCGCCACACAACTGGCCAGTCAGGTTCCCAAGATCTGAGAATGGTTGAATTTCTTCTTATTTTATTTTATTTTATTTTATTTTATTTTATTTTATTTTATTTTATTTTAATTAATTTCTTTATTGATTAAGGTATCACATATTTGTCCTCAACCCCTCATTCCAAACCTCCACCCCTCCTCATGCCCCCCCCCCCCCTATTGTCCTTGACTACTGGTTAGGCTCATATGTGTGCACGTAAATCTTTTGGTTGATCTCTTCTTATCTAGCTAGTCCCCTAACCTCATGTGGAAAAGAGAAAGTTTTCTCAATAAGCAATCAAGCAAATGTGTACTAGTTCAGTCTTGGCTGTAGAAGGTTGCATGTGGTTTTCATACAGACAGGGAGTAGTAAATGGGGCATCTCTCTAATTGAGGTGGGTGACATGGTTTTTCTGTATAGCGTGTGTACTCCTGGTGCCTATAGTTTCATATGTATTTTAGGAGTTGTGTTAATTCTGAATAAACTAAAAAGAAATGCTTATTAACCCAGGGTTAGTGTTGAGGTTTGGGCCCACTGTGCTTTCTTTAGGATAGTATTTTCCCTTGGAAAAATAAGCTGAAACGGCAGGAATTGGGAAAGCATGTCACCAAAAGCTCTTTCACCTATGAATTTATTCTGCCTTATTTTCATGTGCTGCTCTGGCCTTATTCATCACTATTATTTGTAGAGTTGAAAATGAGAAGCAAGCAACAAATCTGTGGAGTGTGGTAAAGGGTGCGACAGATCCTTCTTTTCATTAATTTCTGCTTATGAAACTTTCTGTCTTTAAAGACCTTCTCTGACTTTTGGCAGAAAATGTTGGGCAATTTCTCAGCAAGTACTCCCAGTTTCTAACGTGTCGCTCTGGGTAGTTCAGAGTGTACCTTTCCATATGGAGCATCTCAGGACTCGCTGAGTCACTGAAACCACTTAACATTTGCTTGTCCTTTTAGAGAATTAGATGGTTTTTGGCATCCACTCAAACTTGAGATGTAAATACCGTGAGGTATTGATTTCCTGCTTCAGTTTGAAGTGGAATAAAAGCCCTGTTCTTCCTTACCACATATAAACAAGTGAGAACCTCATTTCCAATACTCCAGCAATGGCTTTAAGAGATGTTGTTGGGTAATCTGTCAATCAGTATTTATCAAGTCTCTGCTATATATCTAATGCCAAGCTTTAGTTCTACCCTAAGCATTTTTTTCTGGTTATAATTTCTGCTCATTTAATTATTGACTCTGTATATTGAGCATTTACAATAGACCTGGCGTTAAGCAGAGTGCTTTCAATGCATTCTTTCATCTTCACAAAAATTCTATGGCATCGGTACTAATATTATCCTTTTTGTTTTTATAGATGAGGAAATTGAAGCATACAGGGATTAAGCAAGTCACCCAAGGTGACATAGCTAGTAAATAGTAGAGCCAGCCCCCAAACTGAGGCCCATCTCCTGCAGGTCCCCCCCCCCTCCTCCCCTCCTCATCATTGGAGTCTGAATGTCTCTGTATACAGGAAGACAGTGATCCATAACACTGGCAACTGAGGCTTTCACCACATCCCCCTAAGGAGGACCTAGATGAGATGAGGCTCTGGATTTGCACCAACAGCAAACCTGGACTTTGTCACAGCAAAATTAGTGGGCATTCTGCCAGCTGCTGCCTCCAAACTGGGGCTTGGGAGTCACCTGGATGAATGAATGGAAGGCCTGTCTGAAAGGGCTTTTGTGACCAACCTCCTTATCTTTCCCCTGCTGTGCGAGAGCCAATAGTTACTTCTCCTTGTGCTTCTGCTATCAGCAGTCCTCATCTGAGCTTCTGGAGGTGGGCTTCCTGCTTGCTTTGGGGCTTAGTGACCCAGGGTCTGACAGGAGCTGGGAATTCTCAAGTCACTGTTAATGTAGGAGACCGCTGGCTTGTCTGCTCCATTTCCCATCACAATGCAAACAGTGAGCCCAGCACTCAGCACAAATCTTCAGCTCAGCTGCCTAGCTATGGAGATCTTAGACTACAGAAACAGGTGTGTCAGAATGCAGGCAGGAAGCCCCCGCGCCCCCGCCCCCCCCCCCCCTACTCTCCATCTTTCCTTCACTGTAAGTGGGGCACGCATATTCAAAGGAGGAGGCCCTGGGTAATAAACACACGATTGTCTTTAGTCTGAATATTGGTCCAGGAAAAACTCACCTAAGCACTTGTGTGTTTCTGTGTTCCCCAAACTACCTGTGATGAAAAGGTCTCTGGGAGACATTCCCAGGGCCCTGTGGTAAGACACATTTGCAGGCTGTTGCCTCTGCGCTGGCTCTGGGAGATTCCCAGTGCATATGAGCCTGTGAAAGGCTTTGAAGTCCTACAATAAAGAAACCTGGTCAATTTTGTTAAAGCTGGCAATTTCCTAGCTTGTGTGACCATTCATCTCTTTATTTTAAAAATACTATTCATATCCGGAGGGCTTTAGTGGTTAGGAGACATTATTATACACCAGCCTTAAGGTATTGGTAAGAACCTTTCCAAACCCCTTTCATCTGTCACCTCATCTCTATATTATGTGATTAAAGCTAAATTTTTATATCTTTTGCCAATAGTTTTTTTTTTTCCTCTCTAGAAAATGAAAAAGAAAGTATACTGCACATTAGCTTGGGATTTCAAAAGTTGTTATGCTTTCAGTTTGTTGTGTTTCCTTCCTCCCTTTCCTATTCCTTCTTGCTTACTCTCTTATGAGATTGTTTTTACCACTAAACACTTTTAACTTCTTCTGTGCTATTGAATATTTTTGAATGTTCCTTGGACAATCTTCCTAACTTTGGGAAAAATATATATACAGAGTGGAGGAAAAGTAGGTTTGCAGCCGTTCACATGGAAAAAAACACAATAATTAATATGTAATAATCCTATATAATAAAAGGCTAATATGCAAATCGACTGAATGACCCAATGACTGGTGTCTGTGAAGTGCACTGACCACCAGGGGGCAGATGCTCAATGCAGGAGCTGTCCCCTGGTGGTCAGTATGCTCCCACAGGGGGAGTGCCGCTCAGCCAGAAGCCGAGCTCACAGTTGGTGAGCACAGAGGAGGTGGCAGGAGCCTCTCCCGCCTCTGAGGCAGTGCTAAGGACCCCTTGGGGGGTGTCTGACTGCCGGCTTAGGCCCGCTCCCCCTAAGCCAGCAGTTGGACATCCCCCGAGGGGTCCTGGACTGCAAGAGGGCACAGGCCAGGTTGAGGGACTCCCTCTCCCCCAGTGCATGAATGTCATGCACTGGGCCTCTAGTACACTAATAAACTGCATTTTATTAAATGCAATTGTAAACCTACTTTTCCCCCACCCTGTACTTAACTACAGATATTTCTTTTATGGGGCTTAAACTGTAGTGCCTAGGGTAGAAACCAGGAAGCCTGGTATAATTAAAATCATTATATTTATTAGTAGTTCTGAGAAGAGATTGAATTATTTTTGGCATAAGATTTTCATGTTATTTTACTTGCTAAATGGTCAAAACTAGGTTGTAATAAATAAGAAAATGTTTTGTTTCCTAGAAAGAAACACTTTTACAAACTGTGTGACCCATCAGTGATGTACTTCCAGGTTTTAAGTGTATAAGAGAAAAGAGTTTGGCCCTAGCCGGTTTGGCTTAGCAGATGAGCCTCAGCCTGTGGACCTACGGGTCCAGGTTCAATTCTGGTCAAGGGAACGTACCTCAGTTGCAGGCTCCTCCCCATCCCCTGGGCCTTGGTTGTGGTGCGTGAAGGAGGCAACCAATCAATGTATTCCTCTCACATCGCTATTTTTGTCTTTCCCTCTCTCTTCCAATTTCTCTAAAATCAGTGGGAAAATATCCTCGGGTGAGGATTTAAAAAAAGAGTTTATATGTTTGCAGCTGTGTGCACAAAGGTATATTTAGATCATTCCTACATATACCAAAAGTATATCTCTACTGTTATTAAGTGAGAGAGATGAGTATAGGTTTTCAGCATAAAACACAGTTTAGCTGGCCTCTACTTACACTAAGCACCACTGTGATATGAACATCTGGATTAAGTTATACAAATGGGGCCCTGGAGTTAGGAAAAGGAATACATTCAGAGAAACAGATCTTTTTATTTTTCATACTGTAGGTAAGATCAAAAAGGACACAGTGACTGTGTGAAGAATCAAATGGTTGGTGTCCCACATTTTCCTGTGGACAGGCTAGAGACCAGGGCATGGTATTTTGACTCAGCTCAGAAGAGGTGACACATTCTGTTTTTGTTTGTTTAAAGAGACTGATTCATAGCATAAATGACTAAAAGGTGATTAAAGTTAACTGCTTCATAGGGAGCAGTGTTAAAATGAGAGTTAGTTAAGCTTATTAGCTCACTGTGTGCATATAAACTAAATGAAATGCCATCTACAGAGCTGGTGCTTGTCCTGTAGATCAGTTCTCTGCTAAGGGCCTAGTTAGTACTTGAGGAGCTAAATCCCTTTAATAGTGTTGATCTCATGCCAAATTTCTTATGGCAATTGTAATAGAGCTGCAGCTTCAAAGTAATTATCTTTACTAAAGAAAATATTTTTTTTATACGAAGCATAATCTGTTCAATTTTATATTAGCACCACATTTGATTAATCTGGGCTTCCTGTAGGCTAATGTGCTCAGAATTTTCCTATTTGTATCACTAATGTCTCACCTTATAATGGCAGGTGCTCCTCACCAGCAGTCTGATGAGTACTAAAGTAGCACTATAAGAAGAAAGCATTATGAATGCTTTATCAATACTTTGAAGCTTAGAGAGACAGAGAGGTTTTCATGGAAGGGCTGAGGTGATGAATGAAATGAGTCTTATTTTTTAAAAAAATTTTTGTTAATCCTCACTCAGGGCTATTTTTTCCATTTATTTTTAGAGAGAGAGTTGAAGGAAGAGGAG